ATTTGATTTTTGTAATGCTGTTTGCTTCTCCTGTAAAATAACAAATTTGGTGGTTAGGGCCTTTGTGAATTAAGGTGACGGTGTGTAACATCAAAAGCAAATCAAAATGCAGGTATTTAAAGCACAGAAAACGAGGGAAAAATATTATTAAACGGACTATGTTCTCTTTGACGTACGTCAAAGGTCAAGTAGAAGTGGGAACTTGTATGACTGCCCATTGATAGCTCGGTTATACATTTTTATCAAAGTTCGCCAGTTTTGTTAAAGAAATACTCCCACGACCGAAGGCAAAAAATAGTGTCAAAAAACTTGTCATTTTGTTTGCCAGATATACGTTTTATCGGTGCACTTGCACAACATTCGCATTCGCAAAAGCTCCGCATTGATTATTGCGAATGCGAAAGCGAATGTGAATATTCGCAACAACCCTGATATGTATGTATGCAACTCTAGCTCCAATTGTTTAAACAAGTAACCTAAGTGTAAATAATATTTGGATGGAACATAATAGTTTTATTGAAAAAGTAAAATGTAAGCGTTTAAGTCAGATATTAACAGCTTTTGCTACTGCTGTGGTAAATGTGTACCAAAAAGTAATAATAATAATAATAGATAGGCGCTTACACATATGTTAGTGTTTGGCCGAGCTTCTCCTCCGATTTGTGGCGTGCGCCTTGATGTTGTCACACAAAGCGGAGGGACCTACAGTTTTTCGCCGACTCCGAACGGCGACTTTATCTTTATGAGAAGCTGTTTTTCCTGGCATAAATATAATCGGAGGTTTGCCATTGCCTGCCGAGGAACGACCGCTGTTAAGAAAAAACTTTTTCTATATTTTTTTGCGATGTTGCTTTGACCAGGGCTTGAACCCAGGCGTTGCAGAGTAGAAGCGCGCACTGCTTACCACTACACCACAGCGGCCGATTAGTACATGTCATTAAAAATTCACTACTTACACTGGCTCATTTCCACTGAGTCCGATGAGTACGGCGAGCGCTACCATCAAGTGGCTCTTCCATTTGAAATGAGGTAGTAAATACTTGTAACACAAAAATATTTTAACTTATTCTAATTAAAAAAACAATACAGATATGGAGGAAAAAAGCACCGGATCCAATTCTTGCAGAAATTTGTTGGTGGAGTAAGCACGTGTTTGAGGATCTTAGATTAGGTTAAGTTAGGTAAGCGGGCTGCCTCCGAATATGGAGGCACGCTTGAACTCGACTAAGCTATCCGTTGTGATGCCCTTAGAGGGGGGAGGGAAAATGACGCACGGAGGCTGGAAAAAAGAAAGTGGATGGGTAGGGGAAAGTTAGGGGAAGCTATGGGAGAAAGACGATACCTATGGCTTTTTTGCGGAGAAACGCTCCGTGCTTACAACGAAGCTCTTTTAGTTGACTGATGTCCACTCCCGAGAACTTATCGGGAGTGTGAAAAAAGTGCGACCCGTGGTGCTTAATCCTTAGGCTCGCCAAAGCAGGGCACCAGAGCAGCAGATGTAAGGGTTATCCACGACATTCAGCCTTACGACATGGTTACCAATCGCACAGTGACTGGTAAAAACTCCCACCAATAGCGAGAGATGCAGCTTGCTTAGTATCACGAGCTCCCCAGACCGCCCCCGGTCCACCCGTGGCCAGAAAAACTTTGCCACCTTGCACTCCAAGGTCTTCGCCCAACACTCACTGAGCTGACTAAACGCCCATCTGTCCAGAAGCAGACCACACGAGGTCAGCGGAGCCCCCAGACCCTCCCTGTCCGAAAGTAATTCCTCGAGAGTTCCCTGTCTTGCGAGCTCTTCGGCCATGCAGTTGCCAGCGATTTCGCTGTGACCTGGAACCCAAATGAGCTTAATATCAAAATAATCAGACGCGGTCCATAGGGAAGTCAGGGAGTGCTTGACTTTTCGAACGCACCGTCAAGGAGCTAAGAGCCCTAATGGCTGCTTGGCTATCAGAATAAATATTTACCTCCTTAACAGATGTTACACTAGAGAGCAACCAATCCGAAGGCGCTTTTATCGCGGCCACCTCAACCTGGAAAATACTATAGTGATCCGGTAGCCTAAATTTCAGGTAGATGGAGAGATCTTCGCAGAAGACACCTCCACCCACCTTCCCATCCAGCTTCGATCCATCTGCAAATAAGTTTGCAGGTCCCCGATTCCAGATACTGTACCCCTCCCAGACTCCCCTCGCTGGAATGTGGGTGGTAAAAGATTCATTCGGACCCAGAACCGGCGTGCAGTGGTCCGTCCGAGTCGGTAGGAACCCGAAGCCGTTTAGAATACTGGAGTGTCCGCAGCTTGAGGTGAACTCGAAGCCCACCCCATTAAGCCTTACTGCGGCGCACGCAACGTCGACCCAACCAGCTATATCTGTAGGCACAACATTTAACATGGCATTCAGCGCAAGAGTAGATGTGGGTCGAAGTGCCCCACTGATTCCAATTAAGGCGGCTCTTTGCACCTTCTCCAGCTGCTTGACGATGTAGGCCTTGTCAAGAGCGTTCCACCAGACAAGTACCCCTTATAATAAGATTGTTTTGATTATAGTTTCATAAAGCCAATGCACTACCTTCGTCGAGAGGACCCAGCGCTTGCCAATGTCCCCTCTACAACAATACAGTTCTACTTTAGCCTTCTTGACTCTTTCGTCCACGTTAGACTTCCAGGAAAACGTACTGTCAGGGATCAAGCCCAAGTACTTCACCCTGTCAGAGAGCTTTAGAGGAAGACCACCCATTGAGGGAAGACGGCAATTCGGTATCTTATCTACAGCCTCAGGCAAAACATTGTTAAAAGCCCTCTCCATATCAAGGGCCCGGAACATGACTCTTAGCCAAAAAGCCCTCGAAAATGGGCATCAACCAGCGGCACTACACTTCTGCAGACTTCTGCAGTTAGGCCGGTATTATGCCATTTGGGCCCGGGGTCTTAAAGGACTTGAAAGAGCTAATGGCCCAAAGAAGGCGATCCACGGTTAGGATTTCCGAGACATTCGTTTCAGGGCTCGACGCCTGTAACCGGATCCCTCCCGTATCCGGGTTGCAGGGGAAGAGAGCATCAAGGAGCATCCGAAGAGACTCCCCGCTGCTCGTTGCCCAGCAACCGCCCTCATCCCTGATGTATCCCAGGAGAGCGGGATTCTCAAGGAGAGCTCGCCCAAACCTTGAACACTCCTGACTGCCCTCCACGCCTTCACAGAACAGTCTCCACGACGTTCGCTTCGCTTTCCTAATTTCGGACTTATATATCCCAAGCCCAATCTTATACAGTGCCCATTCGGAGGCTGATCTACTCATTAAGGACTCTCCAGCCAGAGATACGGGACATTATATCAGACAAGGCCAGCGTGATATCTAAAACCTCTTCTGTACTAGCCGTTACAAAAGTGGGGCCATTTAGAATACAATTAAAGAGTGGCTCACCTCTGGTGTGGATTTCTGAGCTGCCCCAAATCGTATGGTGGGAATTCGTGTCAGACCCAATAACAACGCGTACTCTCCTTGCTTCTGCCACCGCATTCCTTAGTAAGCGCGGAAATGTCTACACCCCGTCCTCGTGCGCCATATAAGCGGAGATCAACCAGAGTTCTCCGGTTACACCCTCCAGGCTCACCGTCACAATGTCTCCATTGCTGAAAAGGGGCAAAATAAAAGCATGCAGGATCGAGGTTTACCTGCGTCCCGCTGCACCAGCAGTTTGTAGTCCTCGTCCCGATACCAGAAACCTTATTACAGCTGCTCAGCCACGGCTCCTGGATCAGGACACTACATCGACTCCACCTTGCTCAAGGTCGATAAAAAAGGTTGGCTGACGCCGCCTTAGAGTGCAGAAGATAGATCTGAAGAATATTCATCCTCCAAAATCCTTTCCAGCACCCCTCCGCGGGCGCCATCCCTATCGGACGCAAGGAGCATTTCCTGCTCAGCCCTGACGAACATCGGGCCAACACTGATGACCGATCCTGCAGTTGAAGGAGGGCCAGCAGTGCTATCACTGCCCGACATGACGGATTCGACCTCCACACCTACGTGGGCATCCTCCGCATTTGTGTTTTCGCCCGCCAGCGCAACTGGAACAGGCTCGTCATTCCCTCTGGAGTCGGTCTGGTAGACCTTCATGACTACCTTCTCTAACCTAGCAACAACAGCGCTTACCGAAACTCACCGTCGGAGTTCTTAAACCGGATTAAATTCCAGTTGTGCGCATTAAGGTCCGGGTTGCAGTAGCGGAAGATATCTTCCGCCTCCCTCAGCGAGGAAGGTACCGAGGAAAGCCAGACCCTCCAGGCTGTTGCTTAGCACCCCCCTGGCCTACTCGGACGATCGCGCGTGCTGCTCAGATAGCTGTGCAGCACCCTGTTCGCCGTAACGCGCCAGGGAGTGGAAAGCCATGCGACGGTCATAGCGTGCTTTTCTGGCCAGCCCACCGTGCCGTTTAGGAGCCGGAAGTCCATGGCTGGTGCCGGCCACACTGTCCAGTGCCCTCACGTCCAGAACCGCCAGACGACATCATCTGCGGCCCTACCTCCGTCCTGGATGCAGGCGAATTCGCCCGCGCCCCCAACCCCAAGTCTAGGTGCGATGGGTTCCTACCGGCACCTCCCAAGACCGGCGCAGACAAAGAGGTCGGCTCCGATCCCTGACTGCACCTTGCAGCATCAGCTGCCCGCCCCTGCCCAGGAGTCGATACCGCCTCCTTTACAGAGAAGCCCACGGGAGGATTCATTTTAGAGTCACCCCCGCCGCTCAAAGTTTTGTTTGTTGCTGTTGTTTTATTTTGGTTTTGTTTAGTTTTTGTTTTAGTTGTCTCCATCTTGGTCGTACGACGAGGCGGGCGCAGTGGTCAAAGAATTCAAAGAGAAAATATAACGGTCCACTACGGCAGCGCGCCAAGCCGCAGCAACGTCACCGTTACTCCCTGAGGCGGCCCGGTGTCAGGAAGGTGCCATTGCAATACAGCCGGGGGTCAATCCTCGTTCGATGAAGTAGTGAAGTGAAAAATCAAATTCACACTCGCTGTGATATTAAGTTTTTCATCATATCACTTCATTTTTTAATTCTAAGCGATTCTTTTTCAATGAAGTATTCGTTGTGAAAATCTAATAGCGAGTAGTGTGGTAAATCATGGTGAGTTGAAGAAATGATATTTTCTGTCAAAATAGGAAAAAACGTTAATAAGAGTGCAAAGGATTTATCATAGTTATCAAGTTTTCCAAGGCAATGCCTAATATTCCTCTACTGTTTATTGCTTTTAATCATGATGAAGGAGATCAGAGGTAAATGCGGTTATTGAAAGTTTTAATTCAAACATACAATTCAATGCTTTTACTCGCGTCTAAAGAAATTATCTCAGAGTCACGAGGCGTCAACTGAGGGATGCGCAAGATCCATTTTTAATGATTACTGAAGAGAGTTTTATGAATTTATACCGGTTTCCAAAGCACATTTGCAAAGATTTAATAGACGAACTGACACCATACTTACAAATTACAAGGAGACGGCATGCAATTCCGGCACATGTGAAAGTTTTATGTGCTCTACGTTTTTTTTGGCACCGGGAGTTTTCAGCGCGCAGTTAGGCAGGATGCTTTGTCTGCTCTATCGCAATCGTCCGTAAGTCAGGTTATAATGGAAGTAACGAAAGCAATTAACAGAATTGCGCAACGTCACATTAAGTTCTCCAATGTTAGCGAATTCGTAGCAATTAAAGCTGACTTCTATCAAATGAATGGTATTCCTGGGATAATAGGACTTATTGACATAAAGATATGTGGCCCAAAGTCTGAAGTAGAGCATGTATGCTACTGCCGCAAAGGGGGTCACTCTAAAAATGTGTTAGTTGTATGCGATGCCAACATGATCATTTTATATGGCAGCGCGAGATTTGGCGGCACTGCCCATGATGCTTTTGTGCTTTTGTATGGCGACGTTCGAGGGTAAAGCAACACCTGGAAAATCTATACAACACTGGCGAAAGAAATTTTTGGCTTTTAGGAGACAGCGGATATCTTTTACTGGTAAATTTGCATTTAAATACTATTGCCATGTACATATTATTATACTTTTAATAGCCATGGCTCATGACTCCAATTTCCAATTCTACATAAGAAGCAGAGGAGCGATATAATTGTGCGCATAAAGCAACTCGTAGCTTGGTCGAGAGATTCATTGGCCTATTGAAGAGCAGATTTCGATGCCTTACGAAAGAAGGAGTTTTAGTCTATGAGCCTTCAAAAGCAACGGAAATTATTTATGCTTGCATGGCACTCCACAATATTCTTGTGCGGGCAAGAGTTTCATGCCCAGAAGTATCCCCGTACAACTAATGCCGAATGATCTCCTACACTTGGTAGATTACAACGAGATAAAATCATACGAGAAGCATTTGAGCGAACACTGTAAAAACCTAAAGAGGAGTTTCGTTAAATAAAAAATACATTTTTAATGGAGCTTTGCAATAAGCGTGTCTACTTTTTTATTCATGTCTTTTTGCACATTTAGCATTTCTTTCATAATTTCTAGCGCTTGCTTTTTTAATTCTATATTTTCCTTTTCTAGCTCCAAAAGACTTTCATACAGCGGGCCACTTTGTTGAGCGCCTGCACTTCTCTCCCTTCTTCTGACAATAAGAGGAGCAGGACCTTCCGGAACTTCAATGGTTGAGCTAGCATCTGCTGCTTCGACTGCTTCGTTGACCTAAACCAAAGGCAAAATGAAAATTGCGATACAATAATAATGCACTGGTTTTTTATTACTGACTTCTTCAATCAATCCGACTTCACCCTCATGATCTCCATCAACCGATATTGGAAGCCCAATTTTTAGAATGCGTCCCTCCATATCCGACAATGGTTTTTGGATCCGAGGTCCATTTATTCCGCTTTGGCTATCTTTTTCTTTTATTGCCACATATTTGGTGCGTGTGTTTTGTCTACATAAGCAAATACATAAAGTAAAAACAAATAAAGTAAATAAGTTTTGAACATACCGTAAGTCGCACCAATATTTGCGCCATTTTGAACCCTCTTTTTGAGCACCACCCAATGCATTTAGCATTAACAATTAGCAAATTTTTTTACAAAAATCCTGCAAATTGTTACTCCCTGTTAGAAAAAGTTACTAAAATTATTTTTAAACTGTTGAACTTTACTGAATAAACTAATGCACCACTCGATTTAAAAATACTTATTGTTGAATATTTATTAACTTACAAAATTTAGATTTTAGTCTTCTAAAACAATGACTATTTTAGAGTTTTTTATTGTTGTTTTAGAAGATTATTTATGTAAAATCTAAATTTTTTTACTTGATAATTATTCAACAATAAGTATTTTTGAATCGAATTGTGTTATTTTATTAGTTTATTCAGTAATTAAATAGTTAGTTACAAAAAGAGTGATTTTGAAAATATAAGCATCTACAACTTACAACTGTGAAGCTCAACAATTTGAAAATAATTTCAATAACTTTCTCTAACAGGGAATAACAACCTGCGGGATTTTTGTAAAATATTTTGCAATATTTAATGATAATGTTAATTCTTTACCTAAAATAGGAGAAAAACTGTAATAATGTGTAACGAATGAATATATGCATACATATATATATACATATACATTAGGGAGGGTTAATTTGTATTGATCGATTTTTTTCGACATCGTTCTTAGAAGAATCCGGGCTTCATAAATTTCTAAGAATAAAATTCCTCCAGACTATAGCTCTAAAGTCAATTTCGAGCCTGCGCAATTTTAAAAGAAGATATCGTTAATTGATGCTAAGTTAATATGCAGATTAATATTTACTAAAGTGTTACGAATGTTATTTTTTTTAAACAAATATCTATTTGGGGGTTTTTTGATACGAAGTCTTAACTTTTGATATCTATTTCTTATTTCAATAACCACAAGATGACGCTACAAATCAATAGCCCAGTCAAGTTAGCTCAAAAAATAGAGGTAAGCTTGCAATAATTCGCATAAAGCTGAAAATTGGTACGAACGTTGCGAACATTTTATGAATGAAATGTCAAAAGTCCCCATCGATTCCACGTATGTAAAAAAAGTTATTCAAGGTCAAAGGTCACATAAATTGATTTTTTTGAATTTTCCAGAAAAACGGTGAGGTTTATCATAAAAAAATAAAATAAAAAACTTTTTAATATACCACGCTTTTATAAATGGACTAAAAAGTAGAAAATAATATTTCTCAGTCCCATAGAATTTGTTTGGATAACTTTTTATTTTGAAATTTTAGCAAAAGTCATTATAAACCATTTATGAGATTGAAAACGAAAAACGTGGAGCGCATGTAATACAAAGAATGAGATTTAATTGACAATGGTCGAACAACATAACATAGACCTAAAATTTCTACAGCACAAGTACAAAATTTGAGATAGATTTTAAGCGATCGTTATTCATATACCCGCATATGTACATACATATATTACTTTTCATATCAATTCAAGTCTTTTACAAGCGCGCTACGATTTTCATTTTCAATCTCATAAATTGTTTATAATGACTTTTGCTAAAATTTCAAATCAAAAGTTATCAAACCAAATTCTATGGGACTGAGAAATATTATTATCTACTTTTTAGTCTATTTATAAAAGCGTGGTATATTAAAAAGTGTTTTTATTTTATTTATTTTCTACTTTTTAGTCTTGTCGGTATAAAATTTTGCAATTGATATTAAAATAATTAATCGATATTAATTGGTTGGTACCCACTAACATTAAAAAAGCTATAATCAACTTAAGTCATCGTTTTTAATACTTATGGTGATTTCGTTTCTTCCAAAAAATGTTGCCTGGTGCAAATTGTGTTTCATGTTACACTGAACCCTGTAAAAAGGCATGTTTTTGGCTTCTTGTCCTTGTCTAGCTCACGCATTTCTTAATATTGTCGTTTTAAACAACCATCTGATTTTGCGGGTAACCATCTCCCCTGACATAGCTTCACAGGGCTGAGAATGTGCCGTTTTTGTCTTACAAGAGTGTGCCATCTTAAGAAACGAACACAAGATTTTCTAACCCTTTGCCTTTAATGACTCGAACACAAAAAGAGAAAGGGGCAATTAAAAGACGACATTTTTAAGTAGAAACGAAATCATCATTAAACATTTTGTAAATTATTAGAGCATTGAACGAATGCTTAACCTATACAGTGTTTTAATCTAGTAGTCAAAGTTCAAAAGGGGCATATTATTAGAGTCCGAGCGATTAATCGGCATCGGCATCGGCACAAAATGGAGCACCGGAATCGGCATCGGCGTTTTTTATAAAAAAAATAATAAACATTAAATAAACAAAAGACAAATGGCAAATGCCAAAGCCGGTCAAAATATCGCAATTCTTTTATTTTGTAGATCACTATATGAATGCACATACATACCTAGCATATAAGTTCTTATGCATTGAGTGTGTAGAGTGTATTATAGTACAAAACGAAATGAAATTTTATGTTCCTAAATATTTCTTGCTTAGCACCAAATAAAAAAGTGTAATGTACATAAATGTGATATATGTACATATATTTTTACTCATACATATGATGATACAGATGATTTTCTCCAATGAGGCGATTTCTTAGAGGCTTGTATATCAGGCCGGCTGCATTGAATAATTGCTCACTTGGAACGCTGGCGGGTGGAGCGCTCAAATATTTGCGGGCCAGATCTGTCAATTTGTCGTATTTTAGTTCAGTTTTCCACCAATCGAGATGATTTTCACCGAGATGAGCTTGTATTTTTTTAAAATAGGCCTTCAATAGAGATTTAATTTCACATTTTTTAATGTCTCCAGATTCTACATGCGAGCCTTCGCTTTCGCTGAATCTAAAATAATTTCTAAGTTGCTTATAAGACTTTTAGCAGTACTTGTTGAAGGCCCATGAATGTTGCTTGATATACTACATAACCGTTTAGCGCCTGAAGCTAAAAGCCGGTTATTGTCCGCACCCTGGTTAGACAGACTTAAAGCTATTTCCAACAATTTTTTATTGAGCTCGAGGCCGTTTTTAATGAAAAACTTATTGTGGAAAAGCAACAATAATTTGAAAAAATGGTAGAAGTGATAGCTATTTCGGAAATCACCACATTTCCTCATCAGACTTCCTTCAGTAGGATTCGAACCGAAGATCCCACTGACTCAGCCAGTTGCCTACGCACTGTGCTAAGTTAGCCTTGTAAATTATCTTTGCTTTTTCNCTATATGAATGCACATACATACCTAGCATATAAGTTCTTATGCATTGAGTGTGTAGAGTGTATTATAGTACAAAACGAAATGAAATTTTATGTTCCTAAATATTTCTTGCTTAGCACCAAATAAAAAAGTGTAATGTACATAAATGTGATATATGTACATATATTTTTACTCATACATATGATGATACAGATGATTTTCTCCAATGAGGCGATTTCTTAGAGGCTTGTATATCAGGCCGGCTGCATTGAATAATTGCTCACTTGGAACGCTGGCGGGTGGAGCGCTCAAATATTTGCGGGCCAGATCTGTCAATTTGTCGTATTTTAGTTCAGTTTTCCACCAATCGAGATGATTTTCACCGAGATGAGCTTGTATTTTTTTAAAATAGGCCTTCAATAGAGATTTAATTTCACATTTTTTAATGTCTCCAGATTCTACATGCGAGCCTTCGCTTTCGCTGAATCTAAAATAATTTCTAAGTTGCTTATAAGACTTTTAGCAGTACTTGTTGAAGGCCCATGAATGTTGCTTGATATACTACATAACCGTTTAGCGCCTGAAGCTAAAAGCCGGTTATTGTCCGCACCCTGGTTAGACAGACTTAAAGCTATTTCCAACAATTTTTTATTGAGCTCGAGGCCGTTTTTAATGAAAAACTTATTGTGGAAAAGCAACAATAATTTGAAAAAATGGTAGAAGTGATAGCTATTTCGGAAATCACCACATTTCCTCATCAGACTTCTTTCAGTAGGATTCGAACCGACGATC